TTGTTTTAAGAAATGAATAGATTTAATAGCAAAAGGGTAAAATCAAACTAATAAGGCCATGAATGCAATTGAAAATAAGACTCTTTGCAAATTTATTATTAGGCTAGAATGCGTCGTGAGATCTAGAAAGCACTGGTGAAAAATGAATTGTAAATTTATAAGTTGTATAAGGTTTTTGAGCTTTTCCAATGGGTTTTTCGTATTTTTTTTAAATTTTATATTTTTTACGAGGGTTCGCAACAGCAGAGGTTATGTCAACCCTCGGGGTGCCGGTATTTTTGAAAAAAATCCCAATTGTAAGTATGTCGGGTTCGAATGCAGGGCCGGGACCTTCACGTTATAGTGATGAGTGCCGTGTCAACGCCTAAACCGTTGCGGCCACCGACGCCCCTTCCTCTCCCTATTGAAATTATGACTGGTACAGCATTTAACGATCGACGTTGATAAAACGCCCCCTTTTCCAATGTTATTCTTAAAAAACAAAAAACAAAACAAATAAAAATAAAATAAAAATAAATATCTCCCTCCTCTTCAGTTACAATGGTTGATTGGTTGAGCCTCATAGGACTGCTACTAATGAGGCTGGAGAATGCCTCGAACCCATTTAAATAAAAATCATGTAAAATAACATTGGAAAAGGTTAATAATGTCGTCCAAACTGCGGGAATCGCAGGAATCATACACTCAACAGAAACAACAAAACGAAAAAAAATTGGAAAGGGTATCAATTAATATTACTAAAGTGTACCAAATCATAAATTGTATGTTGTTGAGATGTAAAGAGGGCAGTGGTTATAAGTAAATTTAAATATCCTGTGACTAGGAATTTCAAATTGTTGTATTTTTTCTTTTTCTACATCTCTCTAAAAAAAGGTAGAGAAAAGGAAAATTAATTCATTTTTTCGTGCAATGGGCTCGAAAGGGTTGTGTGTATTGCGTATAACATTATGTATTATTATTTCGGCGCCAAACTTGAAGAGTCCTCACCGAATAGATTCGCTTTTCACATTTCAGCTCATCCCGGCCCCTAAGTTTACACGAACGGTGAAATATCTCCATTTTAAATTTGTATCTTTGCTAAATTTCTCAGGTCTGGTTAACAAACAACTGGGCTTTGCCTCAAAAAGCAACTCGGAATCTACGAGCATTGTACGCCCCGGGGAGAAACGATCGGAACGTGTATTTCCTTCCTCGTACGTGCGTTGTTTTACCTTAGCACTACTTGCACACAGTGCTTTTTTTTACCCCTCTTCTAAAGTAATTTTACACGTGAGATGTTAAAAACGAAATGGAACGAGTAGTCACGGGGATAAAACGGCCTTTATTAAAAACTTATACGTTTGCGTATAAATTTTTCTCTAGAAAATGTTTCTTTTTATCAAAGAAACTATCTCGATCCGCTCGTGCTGGTGTTAAAATTAATTTTGCAATAATTTCTTTTCAGGTTTATTTGGCTTTTAAGAGTTTTTCTTTTACGCTATAAACGTTGTAACGGTGATCAAAAGGGGCGGTGGATTGTAAAGGTGGTTTTTTGATTGTCAATTTAAAAAATAATTAAGGCAGTTATTCGTGCGTACTTTCGCTTGAAGAAAAAAATCACCCACTACCCGGGAGTAGTAAGGGATCTAATCGTCACCGACTCCTCTACTACAAATGTACTTTAATACCACCTCTTGTTGTTTTTATTTGTATCCTTTCCACAACCCTATCACAAGGACACAACACTAACACCCGAAGAACACATGTTAGGAAAAATCGGTCAACTATGGCACTCAATTTGTTGATATTGTTGCGGCTTTGAAGCGACCTGTTCCTGGGATGGATGGCAGAGAGGGCTTGAATAGTTTTTGTTAGAATGGGTTGAAAAGAGTGAAACGTCAGGATAATTAACGAAGGGTGTTAAAGTCATTGTGGATGATGAGGTTAGAAACGTAGTAAAAACTTGGATAATTCTGATCGCTTTTGTTTGAAATCTTGTATTAGTTAGATATTAGATAACTTGGTGGTACCCTACATGTTTTGTCAAAATAGATCGCACTATGGCTAGCAGTTCACCCGGAGGGGACATGTGTTAACAGAAATTAGTCAACTCTGGCACTCAATATTAGGGATTGAAGATCAAGGAGGGCTCGGGGCCATAGTCGTTTGGGGAAATTTTGAGGGTTATTGGGCTTGAGCTGTAGGCTTACGATGGGTTTAAAGTTCAGAGTGAAACTTGAGCATATGGCAACGGTTAAGATCATTGTGTGAAGTTAGAAACGTATTAAGGAACTTGGAGAATTATTCTGATAGCTTGGATCAGTTCGATATTATGTATGTTTTGGTGGTACCCCAGGTCGTTCTAAGGCCATCACTTAGGAGGGACACATGCTATGAGAAACCTAACTCCAGAACATCATATTTAGGGATTGAGGGGCAAGAAACTATCAGGGGGGTAACGTGGAGGGTTCTTGGGCTTGAGGAGTTAGGGTGGGTTAAAAGTTCATAGTGAACCTTAAGAAAATAGAGAAGATTAAGTCAATTCAGATATAAGCGTGGTATATTTTGTTCCACAATATTATTCCAGATAGTGACATAGTTGGTAACTTGTTGAATTCTGGTTATGACTTCTGTCTGGAATGCTTGGATGAATAGGGTATTAGATGGCTTGAGGGTACCCCTCCCAGCTCCTTTTTCAAAATAAGTTGCACTAAGGCCATCAAAACACGCGGAGGACACGGTTATTAGAAGCCAGCCAACGCTGACATTCCATATTAGGGGAGGCAAAGCAGTCTCGAGGCCATCGTCGTTTAAGGTTCCCGGGGTGGCAAAGTGTAAAGGGGGCTTGGGCAGTAGAAGGGAGGGATTGAGTTGATGTGTAACATTTGAAAACGGAAACCGATCAGTTCGTCTACAAAAGGGTTTTGAGCTCGTTGTGGATAGAAGGAACTTTGACAATTTGCCTTATAGATAATGTGTGTTTCTTAGTGACCTGTTGTTTTATAATTTGTTGAAGTCGTGAGGAATGGTCAAGAACGAGGTAGTTTAGAAAAACACCTTTTTCGTTTTTTTGCCAACATTTCTACCCAATACGTGTATAAATTTTGCACCGAGTATTTCATACTCACATAAAATGTGCTATTTTTGTGGTGACAATTGACAATTATGAAACAACTTATAGACAATATTGGCCGAAGAGAATATTGGATAGGTTAGAGACGTTGTCTGTACATCTTTGATTAGTTGGATATTAGATGGCTTAGTTGTACCCCACATGTTTCTCGGTGTGTCCAAAGTTCAGCACTGCACCGGAGAACACATGTTAAGAGAAAGTGGCCAATTGCTGGCACCCCTTGTGAGTGATGATTGGGTTCTGGGGAATATGGTGGGAAAATGTTAGAGGGCTTAGTCAGTAAGAACAAGATCATGTAGGTTTTCAATGTTTTTAATAAGTACGCACTTCACGATGTAAACAGTTTATTTGTTTTATATACGTTACAAGTTTTACAATAGCCAAAGCACTTCTAACCGCCACTACTTTTCTGTCGCCACGTGCTCTTGAGCAGTGTTGCCCCACAATCTATTGGGAGGTTGGTGTGGAACCTTTGAAAATTTGGACAGTTTGTCTGGGGTCTTTTGAATGGAAGGATTGCATGCAATATCTCTTAAAAAGAATGAATTAATTTAGTTTTCACCATGAAAACATATTTCATTCCTTGAAGTTTATGTATATCTAAGTTTTCTGTTTAGTTCTTGTTGTTCCAGTCTTGTGAAGGGGATTCCACGTCAGTCTGATCGTTGATTTTAGGTTCCTTATGAAGTATAAATAAGGGCAGAAACTTATCAGTGAAATAATTAAGATAAATCCGTTAGATCGCCTAAATTATACTTGTCACTTCACACCAAATACAGTAGATGTTTTTGATGACCGTTCGTCACGGTTTTAACCCCTTTCCGCATCGTCGCGGCCGAATGTGTTAAAAGCGTTTCCGAATCCATTTCCCCGAGAAGATTGGAGGAATGTAGACGGAGTCACTCCAGGATCAATGCACACATAATTGCTTTCTCCCCCTCCTTCTGAGACTCCCCTTCACCTAACAGGGGGCCGATCTCGCCGGCCGTTGATTTATTAGTTGTTAGTAGTTAAATTCGTTTCGTTTCGATTTTTATCGGGTGTATTCGACTCACACGGGGTCGGCACAAAACGGCGTTGACATAGAAAAAAAGGTGGCAAGCTGGTTTCGCGGTTCTGTTTGTACCAATTTAAGTTGGATTTTTTATGTTTGAAATTGTATCCAAATGGGTTCATCCTTCCTTGAACACCCGTTCCATAATCGCGTTCTTGAGGGGTTCACTGCTATCATCCAATCGATAATAAGGAGATGGGAGGAATAAATAGAATGGTCAGTACGTAAAAGCTAAGTAACTAGAGGCCTATTTCATCGTCTTAATAATTATGGAGTTCCATAGCAAAAGAGTGCCATACTGAAGATTAAAGGTTTAAGAGGATTATTAATTAAATTATAAAGAATTGAAATGAACTTGGATTTTACGTGCGAGCAATTCTGTTGGTAGAATCATAATCGCTTTAATACACGAAAGAATAATATAGAGCGGTTACGAAACTATTTTTATTAGGAAGTTTATAACGAAATTCGATCGTTTCCTTTGATTCCCGTGCACGTTATGTAATTTAAAGTATTTTTCCGGTGAAGGACAAAACGTACTTGTAAGTTGTAAGCATACTAAAAACGAAATTAATAAATATCGTTGGGGTCATGAACGTCTGGCTTCCCGCCAGCAAAGAGATGAGGTGTATGTATGGCGCAGTATGTCAGGAGCTCTCCCCGCCCTGCGGATGTAATACCACGTGTTGAAAAGACGGGATTTATCGTTGGGGTGTGAATTGGCTTGTTTGAGATGGTCGTTCACGTCCTGACGACGCGTCGTTGTGTGAAGAAGTGTTTATCTCTAGAATTATGTGTGATGTATGAATAAATGGATTGTTGTGTTTGTTTCAGGTGCTGGTAAGATGTGGAGAGGTAAAGCCGTGGGGGTGGGGGCCAGGTTGAGATGGCAGCTCCAGTGAGAGATAGCTCATCTGCTGGGAATCAACCGACCACGGCCAACTTTGAGTACGATGATAACGAGTGGGACATAGGCATAGGGGATCTTATCATTGACCTTGATGCGGATATAGAAAAGACGGGAGTGGGGGAAGGCATGGCCGCCCCCAAACCTGGTAAGATGCATTCTCCGGTCGAACACCAAGCCACAGTGGATAAAGGCTTGAAAATGAAAATCAAGAGGACCAAGCCGGGGACCAAGCATGAAATCGTGAAAAGCGGAGAGAACGGTGAAAAACATGCGAACAGCGCGAAAAGGGGGAGCAGTAGTCATAAAAGGGATAAAAAACACGGAGACAAACTGACGCAGAAGGACGTGAACGGTTTAGTGAGGTGCATCGAGAAGATGGTTTATCCGGTGTCTTCGTCGTCCGTAAAGGAAAAAGACCCGCAGGGTTCGGGTATGAAAAAAGTGAAACCGAACATGGGTGCCGGTAGTGGTGGAAGCGGTAATTCGGGCAGTGGGAATAGCGGGAGTGGGAATAACGTTAGCAGTAGCAGCAGCTCGAGTAGTGTTAGTAGTAGTAGTAGTAGTGAGAGTAGTGCCGTTTCGGGCAGTGCCAGTTCGTCGTCGAACCAACAGCAGCAGCAACAGTCGCAGCCGTCTCCGCCGCAACAGCAGTCGACGAGTTCGTTGTCGCAGCAATCCGCTCAATCTCAACAGTCGTCCGCTCAGCAGTCGGCGCAGCAGGCCCAGCCTTCGGCTCCGCCGGCTCAGTCGCAACAGCTACAGCAGTCGCAAGCGGGGCCGCAGCAGCAGCAACAACAACAGCCGCAACAGCAACCAGCCCAACAGCAGTCCTCTCAACCGCATAGACTGATCGCACAAGTTCCTGGGGCGGCTTTGACTCATCAGCCGTCCAATCAATCTCATTTGACGGCTCCTCCACCGCTTTTACCCCCTATGCTTCAGAAGTCGCAGCCGCCCAAGCTCATGCCGCCGCTTCTAGCACCTTTGGACTTGCCTTCTCATTGTCTTCCTTCCCCACCAACGCTTCAAGTCCAAGTTACCTCGCAACTTCCGACAATCTCGCCTACCAACACTCCACCACCTCTCCATAAGGTAAGATTAACACATATTTCTACTTTTAAGATAATACTGTCATTAGACTTAATATAGCCCTTTTATCATCTGGCAAATCTGTTCAAAACGATCACATTAGTCTTTTCTCAAATAATCCCGTGATTTCACTATTTACCACACAATCCATTATTAAATGTAAGAAACGCTTTTTTTCCAATGATATGTTGGTTAATAGACATTTTATTGAGGCAGGTTGATCAATATGTAATTAAACTAAAATTGCACACTTTACATCAAAGATGGATTGGCCTGTAGTAGTATTAGATTTAAAAAATCAAAATAATATAGATAAGATAGACCGATTATTTGCAATTGTAGCAATTCCGTAACAGAACCTGATTTCGTCTTGACATTTTAACGTAAAAATCTGTCACAGTAGATGATTTGTTCTACAAACCTTGAAATATAAAAATATCTTCTTCTGTCATTTTCGTTATCTGCAGCCTTGTTAAAAAAAAAAAAAAAAAAAAACGAAAGATTTATCCAGCAGACATTGCTTTTGTTTTAATTTTATACAATTGTCATTTCATAGTGCCGTATGATTGGTTCGGGTTACGATCATTTTCGGCCACAATAATAATCTTGATGAGATTTTACATTAACTGAAACATAATCAGAAATGTTTTCAGAAAAATCATCTGTTTTTGCGGTTGGTCGCGCATCGACTCACATGAGAAACCACCACGTGGAATTTTTTTTTAATGGCGTATTCAATGCATGAGTTTTGTCTGTTAGTTGAATGATTTATCATTGTAAGCTAGATAGTTTGTAATTTAATTATGCTTGTGAGTTAGTAAAAACTTAGTTTGTACTTTAATGAAGGGTCGTCGAATACCTTTTAAGGCAAGTAATCTTCTATCATTAAAAGATAAATAGAAGATAAGGATTTTTTTAATCTAACACATTTATTACGTAAAAGAGGATTCGTAATATCGTAGTAGAAAAAACGTCTGCCAAGTGGGTGGGCAGTATAGTTACCTCATATTTTGTGCATATGTTAATCCGTTTATAATAAAATTCATAGGGGATCATCTAGAAATCAACCAGAGCATAATCCTTGAAAATTGCATAAAAATCCGATAAACTGTTTCAGAGGATTGTACGTTTGCGCATGAGCAGTCGATACAGTTGATTCGGTTGGGATGAAATTATTCATAGGGGACTATCTGGAAACCAACCCAGACAATGTCTGAAAATTCCATAAAAATTGGATTCATGGTTTAGGAGTTTTGCAGGTTGGCAAGGAATTGACCACATGCATACAGACACCGGGACCAAATTCGTTCAGGAAGGTCTGTGAAACCAATACAAAGCATCCCTACTTCTGTAGTTCAGAAGCAAAATGTCGCCAAATTTGTCAGTAGCCGTTAATATTAATTATTGACTCATAATTTGTTAGATTTTGGTTTATGACAATGTTAAAAAAGATGAAAAAGATAATTAGTCTTTTTTGTTTTCTTTGATGGGAGAGGGTTACTACGTTAATGAAGGTAGTCGGCATATCTAGCTTTTGGAATCTAGATGATCTTTTGTTATCGCTGAACCGTTTCAGGATTCGTTTCGCTCTTGATGAATCGCCTTTTTCTCAATTGATGTTATAACTTTTTTTTTGTATTGGTCATTGTGCATTTAAGCTTTTGTCTTTTTATATTGAATTGGATCTTCCTCGTGAGTTGAGTTTTGTTATTACTTAGGTCGTCCGTATACGGGGCAATTGACGGGCGATGCATACCCTCAGTTAGACGCCTCAGGATCCGTCATTGGTGCAGTCTCCTTACGATCAGTGTCCGATTAGACTGCGACTTCGTGGTTGACATCATCTAGTATTAAATTTCTGGAGAAAGGATTTCTGCAAAATTGCGATAAGAAGTTAAGACATTCTGTAGAATGCCGAAAATTCGTATCATAGTTTTCTTTCAGTTCTGGACCTCGCTGCTACAAAAAGCCGGGAGTGAATATTTCAGTGTAAGGATGAACCATACCATCCATACATAACAATGTCCTCTTCTTCACAACTTCACATAATTCACTGTGTGGTGATCAGTGACCGTTAATCGATAATTATTCAGAAATCGTGAGATGCGACATAATTCACTGTTTTTATAAAACCTTTGTATGTAAAACAAATCGAAAATTCAACCCGAACAACGTTAAATTGCAATAAAGAATGGTGATTTCAACTTTGAATCGCACCGTTGGCGGATGCTTGATCGCATAAATCGCATAATCATACGGATCACACAAATCGCAGTGATCACATGGTCCGTGTGCGGACGGCCTAAACAATAGAAGTTCGGACGTGATTTACTTCCTCCCCAAGATTTTTTAAAATTGGAATTACAGTGCATATTACGGAACGGAAGTTGGCCAATCGCGCTTCCAAGAGGTTAATAAAAAACGTTTAAAATAACTGTTCATTTTCCCTCTTGCCATATTTTCAAAGCCGAAGATCGTGGGTTCGAATCCCGCTCGCGACATTAATTTTTTCAACTCAACCAAACATTTTAGACAAAAGGAATAATTAATTGGAATAAGTAATATGGTCGTTCATGACTACTAAACAAATATGTATTAGTTTAAAGTAACGGTAATTAATTATGATTTAAAAAAAAAATACCGTCCTTTTTACATGGCCCGGTTGAATTTCTCTTGAACCAACGCTGTCATTAAAACAAAAAAAAATACGCCTTTAATATTTTTTGGTCGTTTCAAATTTTTACTTTTTTGCGTAAAAATTATATAGGGTACTTCAGGTCCAATTAAACTTCAAAATTTAAAATACAACCTGATACATAATTTTAAAGGCTTTTTCACGCAGAAAACAATGGTGCAATCGGATTTTAGATTGGCCAAAAAAAGACAAAGTTATAGCACAAAGAAAGCAAAATTTCGAGAAGGAGCTGATATTTTACTGTATTTTCGCGAAAATTTGAATTCCTCTGGAATGGTTTTAGATTTTTCAAAAGATGAAATTAGAGATCATCTTGTCCAGTGATTTCGGGACTCTGATTAGGACAGGCGTCTAACGTTCCTTGCACAAATGTCGATTTGTGAGGCCGAAGAAAGCCTCCATCCATCCTATAAACTGATGAATCCAAGTTCACCTCTAATGGCATACTAAACCGTAGGAATTTTCGAACGTGGGCGGAGGAAAATCAAGAATTTCGTACTCTTGTCATCATCAGGTGGTTCACAGTATCAACGTTCGGTGTGGACTTCTTGGAAATAAACTAATTGGTCCTTATTTCTACGAAAATAATTTAAGTGGTGCTCAGTTCCTCAAATTTTTGAGGGAGGTTTTATTTACACTATTAGATGATGTTCCTCTGCAACAACCAAAAACGAATGATTCTCAAGCTTGATGGATGCCCCCGTACACAATTCTTAGCAGGTGAGACGCTATTTGAATCGTCACTCAGAGATGGGTGGATAAGGACCTCATGGACAGATCTCTTAGCCTACTCGGTCACCCGATTTAACTCCACTTGACTATTTTCTGTGGGGCCATTCAAAAAACAGTGTCTACACCAATCATAACCCAGCAACCTCAGTTGTAGAACATTTTATTGATCAGAAAATCCAGTTAGTTTTGTATAAACAATAATATTAAGAGATTTCTTTTTTCACGAAGTTGATTGTGTAGAAGATATTTTGTTTATTGATAAGCTTTGGCCGTGGTCATAAAGAGTCGGTTGAATTGGTATTAGTGAGGTTTGCCACCAAATTTAAAAAATAAAATAATATAAAAACTAGTAGGATCAGACTAGAATAGAGTACATATTTGGTCTTTTTATGCTAAAAGTCGGATGTTAGCATGGAAAAATGTTAACACGTCTTTGAATTTCACATGCTGTGAACGTTAGCCATCCTATGGGCGCTTACATAAGTTTTTTCATCTCAATATTGTATTCAACTATAAAAAGACGAAACGCATTTTTTATCAACGTCGATCGTTAAATGCTGTACCAGTCATAATTTCAATAGGGAGAGGAAGGGGCATCGGTGGCCGCAACGGTAGGCGTTGACACGACGCTCATCATTGTAAGGTAAAGGTCCAGGGTTCGAATGCAGGGCCACTGGTTCGAACCCGACATACTTACAAAATTTTTTTTTTCAAAAACACCGGCACCCTGAGGGTTTATTGACCTCTGCTGTTGGGAACCCTCGTTAAAAAAAAAGGAAAGGAAGCTTTAATTAGATTATTATATTTTTTCAAAAATTTTTCCTTTCCACTTAGTTAAGGGATATAGGTTAATAATAAAATATGTTTACCAGTTCTAGCTGAACACTGAATACGAACTAGTAACGATGAATCAATTTGACAGCCATATTGAAATTTAAAGAATTTAAACGAATTATTGAATCTATTCAGCAATTCGAGGGGTTTTCCGTTCAAACAAACTTATCTTAACTCCGGTTGATAATTTATGATCGTGCAATTAAATTGTTTGCTCATAGAGCGTTTTCCTTATAGCATGTTATTCTTTATTTTGTTTAAAAGCGGTTGTCGAGTTTTTTGTTTCTTTAACGTTAATTGGGTTTTTTGGTAATTATAATGTTCAGAAAGCTACAATCGGGCTGAAAAACTTTTGACTGCCCCATTGCTCCAGCAGTTTTATTTATTTCACTTTCAGTGGCACATTTCCAAATCGTTCCACCTTCCAAACAAAAAAGTTTTATTTGATGATCTAATTGTAAGGGGTTATGTATTAGCCGTCGGCTATCAATTTTGGGTAAATCGTATCCTTATCCCTTTGTCTTTGTATCTTTGTCAATAAATTGGTTGTTTATTATATTTTACAAAGTCGTAGTATATAACTTATTGCCACAAAACGATTTTTACCAGCCATTCGCATTGACATACTTAACGATCATTAATATTTATTTCGGCCTTTTGTCGAAGAGCGTAAAATTGATTCAGAACTTTCTACAAGTGCCCGCTTTGTATTTCAATGTTGTCGCTGTTAAATACTTGTTAA